TTATTCTCTCCAGGATGATGCGGCCTAATATTTTGCTTGGGGTGGACAGGAGAGGGACATGGTTCAAATATAGACCATGTTCTCTTGTCATTCTGATGACTTAAGCAGTAGGATTTTCTGAAGTTGGCGCCATCTAAGTGAGAGGCGTTTTCAGATACCTTGTTATCAGTTTGCATCATGGCTACGCTTTCTGATAAGCAGTGGAACACAGCATAACTAGGTAGCTTTATCCATTGGAAACAACTCTGTAACATGTAGTATCGATAGGACCTGGTTACATAACACAACCGTTCTTTTATACTTCATTTTTTTGAATGCTGTTTTGATTTGCACTGAAATTCAATTCCAGATACCACTATTTCTTGAAACCTCTACTAATTATCCAGAAATGTTTAATGGAATAAAACAGAGGCAATCAGCAGGTAGCCCTGCCCGACCTTTAGACACTGGTCAGCAATCTCAATGAAACTGACGTCCCATATAGGATTTAAAACCCCATCAACTAATGTTATGGTCAACTATTCGGACCACGAATGACCTAGTGTAGGATTGGATTAAATACATTGATTAGATGATCATGAGCTGCTTAATCTGATGACCATATTGCAAAATGATCGATAAAATCCGGTCAGCACTCAGAGCTAGACAATGTATAATTTGTTCCACTTCAGTGACAAATCAATACAAAATGTTTGGTATAATTGGCCAGTAAAGTGGCAATTGTTTAGAGTTCTCTTAACTTTGTTATTTGAACGTAAACGCTTTCTAATCAGGCTGGATAAGATCATAGTAATATCAAAACATATGAATTATTATTATTTGTCCTTTGGATTCCTGATAGAACATAGGGATTTAGTAGCACGTCACCATTTCACTATCTTCTATGCAGTCTTTTCAACTTGGCTCCACAACTGCGCAGAAGCTTTCATTTCTCCCTCACACGGTCTCCTCCATGTCACCCTCAGCTGGGACGCCCAAATCTCCGTTTTCCATGAAGGTTCCACTAGACGGCCTGACGCGTGATGTTCCCAAGCCGTCTTCTCAATCTATGAGCAATCCAGTCCATCTCCACTTTCTTCTGCATATTAGCTGGGTGATAGGTTCTTGGTTTGTTGCCAGACCAGAGTTTCTCCTTCCTTATTCTTATTATTCTGGTCATCTGATCTTCGGTTTCGAGTGAGCGTAGGCAGCAGCTGTTGGTGTATTTCTGTTTTTGTTAGAAATGCTTTTCGTAAGGCGCCAAGTCTCTCATCCATCACATAGAAGCGCTAACTCACTTGACTGACATTAGTGTTGAAAATCCCGATCTCGTTCCACCTACTGAGTGTAGTGCAGCAGATCTCCACACTGATTTCAGATTAATGAAGGCCTGTCTTTCTTATTCTGGCTTTGACGGCCTCATGTGTGCCCTGCTGTAGTTGAAACAATGCTGCCTAGGTAGGCAGGTGAAAGAGACAACTTTATTTAGATTACTCCCGTCCATGGTGATTAGTGATTGTTGTTGTTAGTTGGGTATCTTCATCACCTCTGTCTTCTCCACGTCATCACCTGAAGGGAGTGCCGTCTTCCTTGGCTGCCCTGCTTCTTCTTCCAACTTGTAAGTTTTCGCCTGTACATCTTCGAGTTTGTGCTACAAGACATGAATCATTGGGGGCGAAATACAAATCTTCTAGGGTCTTTTCATCGGTCAAACAGCGTATCCCCCTCTTCTCGCTCCTCATAGTTGTCTACTGCATGATCCAGTCCAGTTCAGTAGACCACAATCAGGAAGATCATCAGTGATAGTAGGCAACCTTGTCTTACCTGTCAACCTGTCTTCACCTCAAATGCATCACTGAGCTTCCCATTGTGAATCACTTGGCATGTGGCGTCGTCAAATAGCTACAGTTGAATGAGGTTGATAAAGGTTTGTGGGACTAAAGCCGTATGTTGAAGCAGTTGCCAAATTACTTGTCGGTCGACGTTGTCGAAAGCCTTTTCAAAGTCGATGAAGTTACGGAATGTTTAGACGACACGAATGTTTAAGCAGGGCTATTGTTAACCTTGTGGGTAATCACATGAAATCATTGTTTATGGACTCTTCCAAACTTGAATTCTTTTAGGTTCTTTTGAAGAAAAGGTAATATTCCCTTGAAGTTATCACTGTCTTTATACAGACATATCGATCTACTCGATGAAGTTTTAACTGATTGAAGGAAGGTTGCTTTCTTCATATGACACAAAAGTTATATTGCATTTTGTACACATCAGCCTGTTAATTTTTGAATCATAACGCAATTCTTTTAGGACTCTGAAGTCTCCACTTTGTGAAATTCCCACACTCGCCCAATCATAGTTGTGGTGATGACTATCTGTGGAAATCGACACACAGCTGATATACCATACTGGGTAAACAATAGTGAAAAGATACATGTAGCTGTGGTTGACTGTCCTAGACACTTGAATTCCAACCAGTAGGTCTCAGGATCGAATCAAACTCCACAGACGTAAGTTTGAGTAACCAGGTAGTATCATTAGCGTTCCCACGAGAAATTCTTTTCAAAACTGTTAAGTTGGCGGATAACGCGAACTGTCGTTGTACACTGATGAATATTTTAGCATATAACAATGAATAACTGATGACTGGAATACTGAGATTTATGGAGGTGAGAGGAAGCCGAGGAGAGAACAGAAAATTTATTTTTGTATGGCAGAATAAAAACAAATGTTTCATTTAATATCTCGATATATTGCTTTAGATAAAATCTATACCGGCTTAAGAAATAACCATGTCCAAATCAACATCATGTGAGTCAACCATTTTATTGAGCCATCATCCCTACAACCCAAGAATATATGACAGAATGGCAGGTGGTAATCTTTTTCCTCTTCACATATTCAACAGATGACATCCTGTACTTTATTAAATCTTTTCAACGAACAAGTAATATCTTCATTCGTATTACACATTTCAGTTGCATTGTCAAAATACTGCTTAAAGAGAGTAACTTTACCAATAAGATCACTAGCCAAATTTTCAATGTATAACATGTAAACATCAACTAGGAATGGTTCTAAGTGACTTTTTATCTCCATGTTAACAATTTGTCGAATATGTTCTCCTACAACCTCTCTTTCAAATGTTAACTGAACCTTATCAGTAGGCAACAAGAAATCGAAGAGATAAGAAAACAAGGTAACATGAAGTAAATAAGGAGTTGGATAAACGACACATAGACAGTACAAGACATAAAGGATTTTCACTTTTATAAATGTTAGGCAATCAAGACAAAATTACTATTTATTGATGTACTTGGAATTCTCTGTTGTTTTAATGGATCAAATTGTTCGAAATCTATTGGCATATGGCTTCCTATCCGGATGTCTGGATATTAAGTGAATGGTAATTATGATGATTTGTTTAGTTGTGACTAGCAGAAGAATCCAGCATGAGTGTCTCGTCGTGCTTGGAACTCGTCAGTTGGATGTACTTGCACCTCAGTGAGTGATGCTATCCCCATTCGGATTCGAACCTCGTACCCACCGCTTCAAACGCCAAGGTGTTGTCCACTATACCAATGGAGGAACGACAATCGCTTCTTGTACAACGACTAGTAGTTATTACTATTAATTGATATACTGGTTATTCCTCATTGTTTTACTGGGTCGAATTATTCGACCTCTATTGGTATATGGTCTCCAATGCGGAAGTGCATCCTGGATTTTTCTACTAGCCACAAGAAAACGAATTACCTCAATCTAAATAAAAATTCGATAACTCGGACTTCATCGGTTTTAGTGAAGTAGCTTCTGTTTTTTAACTGATCATATTCACATGCAAGGGTTTTACTATAGTAGATATCACTTTACATTCTGATATTCCAAGGTAATTTCAACGAAACATTACCCAAGGAATAAGCAACAAAGAACTCTGGGAACGAAACAATCATGAACCCATCGCTCAACAAATATGCATTGGAAGAAAGTGGAGATGGATTGGGCATGCACTGAGAAGACCGACTGGGGACATCATGCACCAGATCAAGCCCTCGAGTGGAATCCAAAGGGGAAACGACGAGTTTGGCGTCCTAGGTGAGGGTGACATGGAGGAGATCATGCGAGGAGGAAATGAGAGCTTCTGGGCTGTCGTGGAGCCAAGTTCAAAAGATTGCAGAGGACAGAATCCAATGGAGACCTGCTACTGAAGCTCTATGTTCCATTAGGAATCCGACGGACAAACAATAATAATAATTAACCAAGGATGGATATCATCTTATCCTAGCAGTCAAAACGTTTCAGCGCGACTATACCTGACCACTTGAAAATGATTATATCAGATATATTTCAGAGTGATTTTAAAGACTTTCAAATGTTGAGAAGTAAGAATGCTTCTTTGTCTCAGACAGTTCAACTCTCAACCATCTATGACTGACTGAAAGGGGTTAAAACAAACGGAAACAAGTGATTATGAAGACTTTTGAATTCAGCATCAATATAACAATCATGAATATAGAAGTAAACATTGCTGTGTAAATGGTTCAAGTTACTTACAATATAGACATCGACCTTTTCACAAGAATTATACTTCTTTAAACAATGTATCAATGTTCAATTTATTTCATATTGACTTCATCATTGACATAGCAAAACATTAAAAAAAACTCTTTATTCATAGATGATAAAAGTTGGGCAACACTTTTTTAAAAATCTATGTAACAATAAAGATTGTTTTAAATTATATGAAATTAGATTTATGATGAGAAATTGAAAAATTCATGTGAAAAGAACTTTTAAACAAAATGACTGGAAACATAAAACCAATCCAAAAAAAAAACATCAGAAAATCTAAATAACCAAGAGATAAGTGATAATGCGATTGTTTTTACAATGAAGTTGAAACAAACAGATTAAACAATTGAAAAGCTTACTATGAGAGTGTGAATCTAATCATCTATACTCATAGGTAATGAAGAAAACAATAAAATTGGCAGTAAATTCATCTTCAATGAAAATATTCAAGTGGGACAGTGAGTTACAAGATGAACAAACATTCATTTGAATATTTGTATGTCGACGGCCTGCTTGAACTCTCGGCTACCCTTTCTTTTTTTATCACCGAATATATTGCATCAAATTTCTCATTTTTTGTATTGTTTTAATCACCCACTTATGTTAACCAATCGTATTATATATTCTCGCGCGTTTTTAAAATCATTACAACCTATCGCTTCGTAAGTTGATAGAAAATTTAAGAAGAAGCACCACGGTGGATGGTAACGGGCTCTAAATCATATAACCGTAGATCAAATGACTATTCCGGAAATACTTCAGTCACTCTTGTCCACAAATGTTTATCGAAAGACGGGAGCAATAATGCTGCAAGAAACATGGCTTCATAACCTGTATGATGATGATTTAGTCTGCTTAGATGGTTTCAAACTTTTTCAACAAGATCGAAGCTTTTCGAAGAAGAAATGTGGTGGTGGTGGTGTAGCAACATTTATCAGTGTAAACTGGTCCTCCTCCAACTATGTATGCTTCTACTTCTCTAACAAAAAAAATCAGTGCATTACCATCAAATGTCGCCCCAAACATTTGGGCAAATACAAATACTTATGTATAAAAAACATGTATGTCACACCTGACTGCAGTTTCTCAGATGTGTTAACTTTTGCTGATAAATTCACTGAATTTGCTGCTCTGGTTCATGGAAACTCCTTGTCTATTGTCTGTGGACATTTTAACTCATATGACTGCAGATTTCTGGTATCATTGCGTCACAGAAATATGGTCAACTTCCCCACTCGTCTTGACAACACCTTAGACTTTGCATTTAAAAATGAACCTAGCATATATGAAGCTCATAAACGGGCTCCACTGCTAAATTCCGACCACTGTATTGTTCGTGTTTGCCTAAAGTGTACGGAAAATTATACAAGAAAGCTTTCGGATACCTTTCAAGGAAAGTTCAACACAGATGCTATTCAGAAGAAAATATATAACATTTGAGAAGCATCCTTATAGAGATGGACTAGGATATATTTGCTGATGAAGTTTTAGACAACACTATCACCGATATCACAAGCTATCTCAGCTTCTGTCTTGATATCTACTGAAACAACTTACATGAGATTTGACAGACTTTCGTCTCCTCATCTCAAGAGACTCTAGAGAGGAAAGGAAAGGTTGTATAAGGCGAGAGATCATCCTGGCGTTAAAAGGCTTAACTGCCTAATTGAGTCTGAAATACAACGTCTGAATACGATATACAACCAGAAGTTCCTATCGTGTAAGAACTCTTCCAATATATGGAAATTATTTAAAGAGCTTACTAATAAAAAACAGATGACAAAAGAAACTCGTTCGGATGTCTGCGCGTTAAACAAGTCATTTATATGTCGGCAAGCTAATTTCACCCTTCCCAATGTGCAAAATCAAGTGGATAGCTGCTTTCCAGGTTTTAATACAAATGATGTATTTAAATGTCTAAAGTCTTTGAATCCCTTCCAAAGCTTAGGTTCTGATGGTGTTTCTAGTATTATATTTAGAAAATGTGCAGTTATTTTGTGTCATCCACTTACAGATATCTTCAATGTATCGTTCTCTAAAAACATAATACCCACTGCTTGGAAGCAGATAAAAATTGTACCTGTGCCTAAGCCATCTTCTGGATCAGATGTTACTTTTCGACCCATCGCTATAACTTCCCCTTTTCTGAAGACAATGAAGAGAAATTACTTTTCCTTGTGATTGAGCCTTCATTGATGACCTTCAGAGATCCAAAACAGTTTGCTTACAAACACCAGAGTACTTTAGATGCAGCTACTGTCTTGCATAATAATATTGTTCCTAGTCTCGACAAAGATGTTGAGTATGTTCGTTGTGCCTTCTTGGATTACTCATCAGCCTTTGACTCTGTTCCAAGACCACTTTTGTTAAATAAGCTTGCCATAGCTCACATTGAGCCATGGGTTACAAAATGGCTGCATTCTCATTTTTCTAAAAGGAAACAGTATACCATTCATAAAGGATGCGCTCCACTTTATTGCTTACTGAAGCTGGTGTGCCTCAAGATGCTGAATTTTCTCCTTTTCTGTTTTCCTTTTTTTTGCACGATTTGCCTTATTCTGTTGAAACTAATTTTATCAAGTATGCTGAGGACCTGACGATTTATATTCCAGTCAACTCTTCTTTGGACTGCTCGAAGTTAAATGAATTCTTGTCTGAAGTTGGCAAATGGTCTCAAACGAAACCCCTCTAAATGTTAGAGCGTTAATTTTAGCCTCAGGCATAAATAAGACTTATGTGAGCTGCTTACATCTCATGACGCCTGCTGCATCAATGGGATTTCTGCAGAAAGTAAATCGAGTGTTATCTATCTTGGGTTGCGTTTTACTTCTGACCTTTGTTGGTTGTCCCATATTTTATTGACTTGTAAAAAAATCTTTCGTTTAACTTATTACATAAAGAAATTGAGGCTTTCTGGTATAACTCAACTGCTTCTTTTACAATTTATTAATTCCTGTATTCTACCTATTCTTCTATATTGTTTCCCATTAATCTTTCCTGGTCTTCTTACAAAGGACTATCTTATGCTGCGTAGGGCTTTGAATACCGCCAGTGAGTAGGGTGAGTGGTGTGTCCCTGGCTCAACTGATTCATACTGTAGTTGATCGACATATAAATTCCTGCAAGCTACTAGCTACAGAAATTTTAATTGACAGTGAGCACCCACTTTATTCACCGCTCTCTCCATGTATCTTCTCAGGGAGGACAAGGAGAAACTACATAAGACTGTATGCTCGTATAGCTAAGTATAAGAATTCGACTGTACCTTACTTTGCACGTATATTTTGTGAGGAAAAAGGGGTGTTAGAACAGAAATCACACATCAACTTTGTAACAGTTAAAAATCTCATTTCAATAATTTAACTTACAATGCAAAATTTTCTCGTTTTTAATATTCTTCACATAACTTGAATTTTTATAATAAAACAATTCGAAAGGCTTCAAAGTAGTATGTATATACTTATATTTTGTTGTTGTTGCTGGAATATATCATGCTGACAATTCCAAATTGTATCACAAATTATTTGGAATAAAGTGAAATATTATTATTATTATTTAGGAGACTAGTCAAAGTCATCAAGCACTTATCAAATTATTCGTCTTCTTAAAAAGACTATTCACTTGACTGAGTGACAGATATTCAGCAGGTTAACTGTCAATTGAAGGTGACTACTCTAAATGTCTTCAAATGATTTAGATATGAAGAGAAGTGATCAACAAATTCGAGGATAATGTAGTTACACTGAGTGATTCCAAAAGTCATAGAGTCAACTTTTCATGGAATTAGAGATGTTTACTAGTGAAACATCTGAAAACTGAATGAACTGCTTTAGGCATAAGAAATTTGTGTTGTTCAGACAATCATCATGATAAATATCAACACATAACTGACCATTACTGGGTGACGGTTCAAGTTGCCACATCTCATATCAGCACAACAGTAATAAAATGAAAGATGAAAAAGAAAGGAGAATCAGTCGAGAGTAGGAGAAAGGACTAAAAGAGAGGAATGAGGAATACCGGTTAACAAGCAGATACTGTGTGGATACATCTGCGCAAGTAACATTGCTTCAGAATAATACCACGCACAATTTCCAACCTCTAGTTTCCGTTGTCACAGTGACCCCGACCGGCTAGTCAGCATCGCCAAACATGGTTCATACAGTGATGCTATGTCTTAGTGTTGCCATGCTGAGCCTTTGACAAGCCTGAAAATACTTCAGCTAACATTTTGCTACGGAACAGACGGTGGCCAGGCATGTGTAACACATATGTCCCAGCCGCCTTCATCGATGAAAGTTGACAATTAAGTCAAATGACTTTTCATTCCTCCCCAAAACTGCGCACCTGACTTCTGCGTTGCTAATATATCACAAACCCTTTTTGTGTTTAACTGAGAAACTAAATCGAAAATTTAATAGGAAAATATTTATTTATGTTATTGTTTTAAATGACCAATAAAGTAAAAAACTATGATCGAAAAATTGATTTTTCCAACATTGATAATTAGTAAACTTAATTGGATAACTGTTCAGCATGATAAAACACTAGTTGTATTACCATTGACCTAGGTTGATATTAAGCTATTGAACAGTTGACATAGGGAATATCGATCTACGTCCTTAAATTAACCAATGATGGGCTGTGTACAATCTGTATAGCTGTTAATGTGCATTGTATTTGTTTCCGCTTTACATCGCGATAAATGTTTAAATTTGTAAAATGTCTTCTGTAATAACTTCACAGATTTATGAATCCTACCGATTTACAATACAAGAAGGGATTGGTTCAAAAGTGCTTAATTATAGTTGATACAGAGTGAAGAAATCCACCATATGAGTTAGTTAGGTCACTAGTAAACAATTCTTTTTCCGATGAAGCTAAGACTATATCATTTCAATTTTACTATATATCAGCTTTTCGTCGTGCTTATACTCAGAAGTATGTTCATTTTCTTCTTGTGAATAATACTGTGATAGCGTATATAATCCACAATTCGATTTTGTGTGGACCTTCCAATAAACTTCAGTTATTACAGTTGTATAATATGATTTAGTATTATTACTCCAAGCTGATGACTTCAAACAAGAACGAAAGTTAAGACATTCAGTTCTTCCCGGTAATTGAGTTCTATCATATATCAATGAAAGATTTATATGAAGCGAGAATATTAGCCGAACACGCGTCAAGTCACCGAGCAACAAGATTTCTGATTCGACTGCTGGTCATCTCCAAGCCATCTGTGTCTAATCCTTAAGAAAAACTAAAATAATTTGTGAAATTCAAACCTTATTTTCGCGCCATGCTATGTTACTCGTTTTTTACCACACTTTAGGATATTAAACGCTGATTAGTCCATTTTACACTTCTAATATACTATTTTGTTTTCCCTGACCAAGGTCATCTAACGATATATAAACGACTGAGTTTTCAGCCATAAGGATTCGATTGAAGTAAATATACTTCCAATCCTATCGTCTTCTTCAAGTGTCAGTTGAATATCGAGTTGACAAGTCATTGTCCTATCATTAATATAGATGTAAAACTTGGGCACTTTGGTAGAATTTAATTTCATATTAGATTTGTTTATTTGATTTATAACACACAGTAATTGATCTAGTATTATTTACCTGATGAACATTTCGAGCATAACTCATTGCTGCTCATAATCATATCTCAATGTAATCACACTACTTTCAACATTCAATTTTTATAGTTATGTCACTTTATATGAGTTGTTTTGATTGATAGCAAAATTCTCCATATCTCTGGTATAGGTGTTGCGTCATCATTCCTATTACATGTGTTGAGTGTTGATTCGATGAACAAAGATTCAGTAATCAAACCCCTTCTCGATTCACTTAATTATATTAAACTTAAGTACAGTGGCTTTATCCCACCCTATTGTGTGGTTGTGTCTTATAATGTAAGCATTGCAACAGCTGAGTTTTTTTCAAGATTATTGATCTTATTTAGGTCTGTTATTCTCTATTTAGCTAAATTCCTATATTTGACTATTCTAACTGACCCCGACCAACTAGTTTGACCTATATGCTTGACCTCACAGTCATTACATGGAATTTGATAGATTAGATTATGTTGCTTAATCGGTTCTATCGGATCCTTAAGCCAGCCGACAAAGTTTTTCTATCAGTGAGTTTGTAGGTTTAAATGCCACCCTAATTACAGCTCTGTTGAGGATTCTATGTAAAGTTTCTGAGGTACCCTCGTTATAGGGTAATACAATGGAGGCCGTGATCTCCATTTACTCGTGTTGCTGTTGTTAGTCGGACCCGTGTGACTGTTATTTTTTTCGTGTTTTGTGTGTCCGTAAGAATTTCTTGATAAACTTTGCAGGATAATTATTAACTGTTAGCGCTTCCTTTACGTGTTTCAATTCCTTGTTTAGG